TATGAACGTGCATTATGAAATGCATTAAGTGATTTTAAAAGGATAACTCCGTATAGCCAAGCAGACGAGTACAGAACGCAATGCGTTAAATTGCACGTTAGATATTTTCCTCCCATAGAAAATCATTATAAATAAAACACATAATGTAGCTTAATGGACAAAGACAATGATATAAAAGAGCTGTAGACAGTTTATTCTATATGGAAAAACTTTGCGTGTTGCGTTTATTCTGGGCTCACCTGCTTGTCTGTATATTAGTTATGTATAGGCTATATTTTAATAATCAAGAGCATTGAGTTTGGTCTTTATCATCTTAGTCCATTATGCCACATTATGCCACGTTTTGCGGTGTGGGAGGAAAATACTATATACATATTCATTATATTAATAAACTGTATATTGAATTTGATATTTTAATAGTATCTTAAAACATTAAGCCATATTAAGTGTTTATGTTTTTCTACAGGAGGAAAACGCTTAACGAGAGACTTTGTGCATTGCGTTCATATTCTGTTGTTCTGTGGCCACGGATTTGCGGGTCTTGTCTTTTTCTTGCAGGACCCTGTACGTTATAGTACTAAACTAGTTGTAATCGTTTAATCACCACCACAGAGTCTTGTCTCCATTGGCAACACGCACGATTTGTGTCGATTGCAAGTGACGTCGCAGGTATCGGAGAGTGCAAGCGCCGATTGCAAGTGACTTCGTAATTTAGTTTATATTGTCTTGTCTTCACCACCTGGCTACTGTTGTAAAATGTTGAGAGATTCAAACAAAAAGATCAAATAAATAAAACAAAATAAAAAAATAAAGACTGCAAGTGATGTCGCTAGCGGAAGCGCAAGTGTCTGAGAGTGCAAGCGCAAGGCTGCAGCCAGACCCTTTTGCATTTTTCAGCCATTACCCTTAGTGACTGCCATCATATTTTATTACTGAGATAATTCACAATTGATATATAAACCACTTACAATTGATAAAAGTGTCTTTGCTGTCACTCCTCTTCATTTGTTCCATGGTAAATTTCCGTCTGTTCTCAATTATCATTTCTTCAATCTTCTGCAGTAGTTCTTGTTTCTGATTGTCTGATTTACACTTGTTATTGAAACAGTAAAACCTTCTTCCACATTCAGTCACCAGTTGCTGGAGATCTTCATGGTTTTTTAAATGTTCATCAATGGTTTCATCCAGATCCTCCAGTTCATCTTCATGTGTGAACAGAATCATGATGTATTTCTGAATATGAGGTCCTAGTAAATATCGAAGAAAAGCCAAAATCTCTTCTTCATTTTCCACATTTTTCACTAGAGGAACAGTGAGCAGAACTGAACTGAGACCTTCTGAACATCGAGAGACTAGCTGCTCTTTCAACATCTCCAGCTGCTCTTTATTCAGATTTGGATCCAGTAGATCCGGACAATCAATCACATGCACCTGCTTCCCACAGATCTGTGTATGGCCCTCACAAACTTCACCAAATTCATCTTCAACTTCATTCTTTTTCTGTTGTATGTGAACTTTAAACCTCTTTTGTCCCAGTATCTTATTTCCAGATGAGCTTTTCCCAGAAGCGTTTCTGCCCATCAGAAGAATCCGGATCACTGAATCATCTGTACTGGAGAAGATCGCTGACATCGCTGAAAGAGACAGAAAATATTGATGATAAATGTAAAACAAGACAAAGTAAAGTGTATCGTCAAGAGAAGAATAAAACATTCATCTGCTTCAAGCACAGGAGAGAAATCAACAACAGGAAATAAACTGAAATGTCACTAAAAATCATAAGTAAAAATCATATTTATACATTTGACAGCTCAAGGTGAAGGTGGTCTAGATAGTTCTGCATCATTTATAATGACATTTACTACAGCGGTTCTCAACCATCTGGATTATCCAGTTCAACTTCATGCATAAACAGAACCGTGATGCAATTCTAAATGTTAGGAGGTCCTAATAAATATCTACTAAAGGGGTTCTAAAGAGCACTTAGTAGTGAGCATGAGCAGTACATGGGTGGAGCATTCGCTTGGGCCTTGAGCAATTGAGTGAAGCGCACCGATATAGAACGCAATCACAATTGATAATGTGCTCTGATGACAACGTAATTTCCCATATCTCCCATCATTTCTGGACATGTAATCATGAGACTCTCCACTTTTAAACTGATCTTAGTGCTGCAAAGAGAGCAGGTCTTCAATGTAATGTTTAATGCAAATATACTTGACAGGGCTTCATACGGCTAGTTCTTGAGTATGCTAGCCCAGTTTGGGGTGGACTGCGTAAAGGCCTCTCTGATGAGTTGGAAAGAGCTCAAAATCATTGCTGTCGGACTTCTGACTTCATCTCTCCACTCATTGAGTGAGAGGCGTGATGAGGCCACCATACGTACCCTCACTAAAATACTCAAGGACCACTCATCGCCATTGCACAGTTTCCTGCCTGTGGCTCCAACATCTACTTATTCACTTTATCGACACAGGGAACATGTGCTCAGGACTGAAACAAAGAGACATGAGCTTCCTTTTTTTCTTCTTCTTTCCTCTTTTTAGAGCTGCTCTACAGCAGAATTGAATTTTGTTTGTATTATCGATACACTATTTTCCTGTTTAAGACTGTAAAGCTTCTTTGACACAATCTGTATGGGATAAAGCGTTATAGAAATAAAGATGACGACTTTTATTCCTTGTGCTTTTATATTGTTATATAAGTGACATACTGTAGTGGCCAAAAGTAATTTCTGAATGTGAAAAACTAGATTCTTCACACTTTATTTAAATGAATTATTGAAATGTATTACTGAATATTTATTTAATATTCTGTATGCATGTTGTGAAGTTGTGCCTGGAGTGTAAAACTAATGTACGTGTTCCAAGTTTCACTAATATCATTTGTCATGATGCACTAAAACATACCAAATTGTGTTGACCTCATTTTTGGCCAAGCGGTCAAACCATGATTGGAGCTATTATGGCCAGCCTATAACTCAATAAATCATCACTGTGTGGCAGGTATTAACTTTATTTTTAGTTTTATCATAGCTAAATCTGGTCAGTCGGTTATGGATTTGGTCTAATTTTGCTCATGTGCTTGATGTGAATGGTCACAATGTCCATAGAATGATTTCAAAGCACAGTGAGACCACTACCATACAAAATGTAAAGTCCTGTGGCTGCTCAAGGAAGATTGGTGAGCATTTTTGACAGGACAATGAAAATCACCTGAATGTGGAAGCACCTCAAAACATCTTCTAAATGACTGACTAATGAACGAGTAAACTAAAGTAAAGGGTTAACTAGAATAATCAAATGCCAAAATATGAATAATTAGAAATGGACAAACAACTGATTTGCATTTCAAGCTAAATTCAAGGTCATAATAAAATGGAGTCAGATTAGAGTTTAATTGAAATTAAATTACTTTGTGCATTGAAAAGACCGCACACACAGGAAACCTTCAGCCACCGTTGGATACCTTCATTGGGCCAATTAGGTGGACCTCAAAAAATCATGTAGGACACAATGTTGCCAAATATGGAGGATCTGTTTTGAGATCAAATGTTTATTTTCCAACATAATAACGATCCCAAACACACCGCACATGCAACAAAGTTCAGCACAATAGTTCATGCTCTCAAGTATTCAAGTGTCCTCTTCAGCCCCCTGACATTAAACCCATTGAACACCTTTGGGAAATTATAAACCTGACTTATGACAAGTCATGCTGTTACAATATGGACCTTGTTGTTGTGCTTTCTGTGTTTCCATGTTCTCCTGGGGCCCGTTTCAATAAAGAGGTTCAACCAACTCGGAGTTAAAACTTGAACTCTGAGTTGACTTACTCTGAGATGGGAAACTGTGATTTTTCGGTTTCAGAACAGCTGAACAGAGTTAGTTCAATCGACTCTGAGTAGGTTGACTCTGAGTTTAGCGGGTGCACCATGATTATGAAAAGCCATGATCAATGGAGTTCCGATATTACGATTCACCATGGCAACAGCTCCTGCCAAAAAGACGTCTGCATACTTCAGGGTCAATACAAGTTTAATTCTTATCACTGTTATAATATCACAGAGGTCAAAACTGGCAGAACGGTAGGTTATTGAATTAATCGGCTATTCATTTTCATGGTATCCCACGGGCAAAAAAAATAAAATAAAATAATAATAATTTAAGTGCATTTTTCTTATTTTACAAATGATCTGCCAATAGCGTAAGAAAAATACGGCAGCGGCTATTTACACTAAATGGAATTAGCATACTTTCTTAGCGATAGATCATATTTACAGCAGGCTAAGTGCAAATAGCTCTAGATGCTATTTACACTTAGTGAAAATAGTGACATATTCTATTTACCATGTAAAAGTAGCAGTTCTTTGCAATAAGTTTAAATAATAATTAGATGCCATTATACTATTTGCACCTCAGTATTGTTGTACATTAACGGGATGCAATAATAATACAAGAGTGTAAACGATTATATTTATTACAATTATAAATACTTTTATCATTATTAAACACTTGTTAGGCCCTTTACTTCCACTTTTAGAACATTTTCTTAATTTTTATTGAAAATAAATTCTAATGTGATATGTGATGGGAAAAGAGAGAAGAGCGAGCTCGGCAAAAGCCGGACTCAAACCTGGTCAATCACATCACAAGCTAGTTCTCCGCGCCCAACGTGTTACTGCCTACACCACTGAAGCTGTTATTCACGCGCCTCGTATTAACCTTGTGTCACATTGGAGGGCGGAGCTACTGTAAATTTGCACTTAGTAATAGACACTCCGAATAATCTTGTTTTCCATTTGCATTAAGATTATTTTTATTACCACACTGGCAGATAATTTTACTTAAGTAAAATGCACTTAATTTAGATCGCCCCCAGGAAACAAGACTAAATATCTTATATAAATTTCTTATATAGAAAATCCATATTGATTTAAGAATTTGTAGATATTTGTACTTGAAATAAGAAAAAATACTTAGTAAGAAAAGCATTTTTGCAGTGTGCATGAATGAATGAAGTATTTAAACATGGCTTGCGCTTTAAAAAGGGGGAGGAGACCGAAAGAAACTCTGGGTTTACCGA